GCACCTGGCGCCGCCCGCGTCCAGGTCCATTCTGCTTCCTTCCCTCACTGGCTACTCTCTCCGATACCACCGCGCACCCCTCTTTCATCACTGCACCTCCTTTACTAACTCCCGTGCCAGTCTGACCCCACCGATCGACTCGCCCTGGGCCAAACCCCCGGGACAGCTCCTTCCCCTGCCCAAATCCGTTCACCAACGGATTAGTTATGCCCTTCTCTCTTTCTCCCCTCCTCCTTCCGCCATAGCTCAATACGTTATTCTCTTTACTAACTCCCTAACCCCGTACTCTAGCACTAAGACTAACGTCGGATTCGCAGTCGCCTTGCTGGAAAAAAAAAAAACGACTACGATCTCCTCCGGTCCGATTCTACTGAGATTCGTGCACGCTCCTCACCCCCGATTGCGCCCTAGCTGTCTCCCCATCACCTTCGAATGCACCCGGCCCGTTTTTCCGTCCGGGTTCATCCATTCTTCCCACTTATCCTCCTAGCGCTTCCCCATCGCCTCCCGGTCGGCCCTCTCCTATTCTGCCTCCTACTCGACTTCGTTCTAGCCACGACACTCCGCCCCGCCCACGCTCCCGGCTGTCTTTGTCATCGGGTGCACCTGGCACGCACCCTCGCCCTGGTTCATCCACCTCGGGTCCCCGCTCAGTTCTTCGTCGCGTTATCATCCGCCACTCCACCTCCAACTACCGTGCGGTCCGACAGCACCCAACTCTTCAAACAAAACGATCCGCTGTCAGCCGCCCTCGATTTATACTCACCCCATTCACCGGGACCACGCTGCCCTCCCTCGCATCGTTCCAATTTTTTAACAAATGCCCCGAAAGGCTTTTCACCGAGGCAGGCGCCCGCGACTTCTCTGAATCCGATCGGCCGCGACGCCACCCCACCCTTATGTACGAACCCGCCCCATATTGCGGGATATATGCATGCCCGCCTTGCACAGGGGCCATACGAATCTTCTCTATATCGTTCAGATGTCCTGAAGGACTTCCGTGGCACGCCGCTCCTCAATGCGGCTATTTGGCCACACAACCCTCTCCCCTTACCCCGTCTCCCATCTGGGTTCATCCCCGGACCTCCCTCTCTGTGGGCTTCACAGATCTCCTCCGGCTCACTCAGATTCTCTCCGGCGGCCACGTCAGCAATTTGACCAGCCTTACGAAACCCACCTTTCCAGCCTTTACCCCCCCGTCTCCTTCGAGTTCGTGCGGCCAAAGGCCGCCTTACCCTTTGTACACGAACCTAACCCATGTTCCAGGGTTTATGCGTGCCAGCCGTGCGCGGGGGTCATACAAAACCTTTTCTGCGTCGTCCCACTTACTATGGATGTCCCGAAGGATACAGCCCGGGCTGCGGAGTCAACCGGCCCCAGGCACTCGGAGTACTTGGCTCTACCCGCCAAGATCTGTCGCGCGGGCCCAAGCGCCGGTCTGCATTCCAACAGCCCATGGGTGTACCCGCCGCAGTCTTGTGTCCACATATGGGTGCGAAAAATTATGGTAACAAAAATCCGAGATAAATAAACCATACGTAAATAACTATATAAACCCCGCAAGACCTGCGGCAGTTGGGCGGAAACCGCCGCCCCCATAGTTGTAAAAGGCGAGGGGGATAGTCCCACGGACCCATCAACCCCTCAAGCCTTTCTGTCACGCTTCTTCGCTCCCCCGCTGCATGTTGTTGGCCTCGATTCTTGCGTCCACTGCGTACCAGTCCAATGTCGTAACCAATAGGGCTAAGCCCAAGCCTGTAACCAGCAGGCGCGGCTTCACATACAATGTGGTACCGCACGGCGCTCCGGGCCAGGATACCGCCCCGGCCGCTCTTTCGGCCCACATTCGTACCCCCTGCCCCTAAGCGCCCGCCCTGGCCTACCCACCTGTGCCCGAGTCAGCCCATACGCTTGTCGGCGTGCCAATCCTACCACCTGGTCCCGCGCGCCGACCGAAAACAAGAAAAGAAATAGACTTTTACCCCTAGCCAGACCCGTAACATGGTCCGGGCCGGTCAACTAGGCCAGCCACCTACTTCAATCAGAAAAGAACCACACGCGCGCCTCAAAATTGCGCGTCCACATACTCCCTACCGGGACAAGGCAGACCTTTGCCCACGCGGGGACGACCCTCACATCTCCCGCACGGGCACTCAGAATCCAGGTTAACCGAGTCTTTCTGTCACTTGCAAAAACCAGGGCGGATACCCTTGTAAGGGTATTCGCGCCGACAACTTACCGGACCATATTAAGCGACGTCCCCGTCGCTTTGCCAGATCAGAGACCTATAAATCCATCCACACTCCAAATGCTGACGAGGTTAGAGCCAATCCGATTAGCCGACAGACTCAGGGGTGAGGCCTCCATCAAACCATGCCAACATAATTATATGCTGCCAGGGTTTCAACCTGGGTCTCCATTGCCCTGACACTAGGACGCCAGTGTATTACGCATCAATACTACAGCATAAGTTCCAAAGGCCCCCAAACCATCCTCTTCCCCTTCCGTCCTAGACAACCGCCGGCTTCTCGTTGGGTGTCCCAGTTAGCCTCTTTCTCGTAGACAGAGCCATGACTAGGGACGCGGGCTTTGAATGGGACCTGTGAAGGCATTCCTTCCTTCTTTTAGTAATTTTCTCACTATCAAACAAAGTACATACATATAGCTGATAGCCTCTCTCGACCTTTTCTGCAATCTAGTACAGAAACGTCAGGTCTCCATCTGAGTCCACCATAGCCTGGATGATCGGGCCAGGTCTACAGCCCACCGCATTGTTACCTTAGCGGCAATATCCTCCCATTGGTTATACAATGACAGGTATGTCCCTGATAATCAATCAATTAGGGCTTCCAAAAGACCCAACTCTTATCCCGTAAGGTAATTTCCCTGGGGCGGGCAACTCCCCTTAAACTCTCACCTTGCGGGCCCGTAGCCAGGTTGTGTCGGCTAACAGCCATCCACTAGGGGTTGCGCCCAGGTGGCACTAAACTTTACCGTTAGCTTGGTATTCCTTTTAAATATGTCTTAGAATTAGCACAAGTGGCCAGGCGGGGCATCACAAACAATTCACAGGCCACTGCGGGACTACGCAGGGGCTTGAAGGCATTTACCGACTCTCCCGTAGTAAGCACGGCATCCTTCGCTCAACCACAAACAACCTCTCCGCCGGATCCACAAAGCCGCGGCTCCTGACTTGATCAGAGCCAGCAGTCTTCCACCCTGAGGCATCTCTCGCCCTTTTCAAACATCTCAACCAAACATGGTTCCCTCTCGTCAGACTTCATCAACACAGACAATGCTTCCCATACCACTCAACTTGTACCCACCTTTACTTGGTGAGGGGTGTCTCTCACAAAAGATTTCACGGTCATCCCCTCTTTGTATTGGATGACTCCTCACACGACCTCTTCCAAAACCATGAAGGGGCCTCCATACAATGTAACTCCCACCTTCCAGAACCATGAAGGGGGTCTTAATCATCAAACAACTCAAACTGAGGGACCACATTTTGGTTCCCTATGCAACTTAGGCAACGATGTATAGTATGACCAAACATGCAAATTCCGAAATCCATCAATCCCGTAGGATTCTCACAGTTTTTCACAAACAGGATGCTCTTCCCCTTCTTATACTCTGCCCTCTCGTTCGCTTGCAGCAGACCGCACGAGTATACCGGAGGGTAGACAGCTTTACAATCTACACAATCATGCCCATGAGATGTATCCCGTACTTCTTCCACACAAAGCCAAACATTCATCGAGATAAATCCACACATGTGAGAGTGATAGTGATCGTCACAGGGCAAGTCCCATAGGATCTCAACTCATAGTACACTCAGCGAGTAGAATGTCTCCCTCAACAATCGAATACAAACACTCAACTCAATGCCCCGCCTGTCTGAGTAGGACTCATAATTCCACTGTACACTCATCAAATACACTCGGGAACATAACATCCACCTAACATCTACAGAATACCCAGCCCCTGTCCCCCCCTGCTGGGAAAACTCACATCCCGAGTGCTATAAACTCCCAAATCTCATTCAGAGCAGCAATAGCTCCTGAATCACAAAACCAAATGTAACTAAATGGTCTCATATATCGCACAGCTGAGTCCTACCCCTAGGTCGTAGCCCACGAAGAAACTCAAAAGGAAACAAGCGAACAAAAGTCAAACATATATGTACAATCAGATAGAAACCCATCCCACCACTCCTACGCACACACACATCTAGGGCCCGCTCAACTGACTCAAGATATGTACACCCCTAACCCCGCCCTGTGTGTGTCAAGGACCTCTAGTGGTCCTACCAGTATATAGATAGACCGGTCCCTACTTACACAAAGTCCTCCTGGTTCTGCCTATACAAGTGAGCCATGCCCCCATCTGGAGCTCGCTCCACTATCCTGCCCTGTCTGTCATAGAACCTTCCGCCGACCTCCGCAACTCGCCCCTCGGCCTTATCCTCAAGGAGCTCTGGACAGTCCACGGCTCTATGTCCTCCCTCCTTGCACCAAAAACAGGAGGTATCGTGCCACCTGACAGTCTTCTTCTTTCTTCCTTGGGAATTGGATGCCGAAGGCGTCCCCATGGTCTCAGTAGTCACCTCATGACACGAGGGAAATCCCATATGGCCCTGAGGTCCGGGCTCCATAGCCTCAGCACCCTCACTCCCTCGTGCGGCTGTGCTCACTAGCCTGCAGTCTGGTATATCCAACCCTCGGGGGCCCTCTTCATGAGGCCCCTCTGTCACCACCACCGCATCCCCATATGCTCCTGGCGGCTGAGAGCCCCCATGACGGTGGGCTCACTAATGACCTCTTGCTACTGCTGCCCTGAGTCAGGTCCTCCCAAATCCTTCCCCGGGGCCAAGGAGCCTAGCTCCGCCCTCAATTCTCCCAACCTCGGAGCATCCTCTGGAGCATCAAGCCTCTGAGGCCCCTCCTGTGGAGTGCCTATCCCCATGGCAGCCGCCAGCTCATGCAAACGCGAGCTTCTCCTCTCCGTGGACATAACCATAAGCGACTCCTGTTCGCCACCCTCCCCTTCGGTTGCGTCCAAGGGCACCTCCTCCATTGGCTTGGCTTGTCAAGGGACCTCCACCGCTGCTCCCTGACTCGGCGAAGCCTGCACCCCTTGGCCCTGGCCATCGGCACCGGCTCGCCCCATCTGGCTAGCCTCCCAGGCTGCCGAGAGCCTATCCACAGCGGCAACCATCTCCCCAAATCTCCTCTCCCACTCAACCTCTTTAGCCTGGCTCCTTGCCCTCTCCTCAGTAAGCTGAGTAGTCAGGTGCTCCACCTCCAACTCCTTAACCCTGAGCTCATTGCTGAGTAGATTATACCACTGGAAAGATGTGACTGCCGTCTCGCATACCCTCCGATCCATGCGCTCAATCGACTTCCTGGTCGCGGAGAACCCCAAGTCCCCCATCTCTCTCAACTCACTCGTCTCCTCGTCCGCCCGTCCTGCCTCTCGGGACCTCTGGCGGGCTGCATCCCTCTGGCTCTCATACCTAGCCCACAACTCGTCAATCCTCTGCTCGCTCGTCTTGGGCTCGACCGGCGGTGTCGACTTTATTCCCACTGCCTCCATCTCAGCCTGCCTCGTATGTATTTCATCCAGACGGACTTGCACTCGGGCGGATCTCTCCTCGCGGGTCTCCCTTGGGGTCTCTCTCACTCGCGGCCCCTGGCCCTCTGGAGCCGTCGCCTCAGCCCCCATCCCTTCGCTCGCGCATGGCACTACTGGCGGTAGTGCCGCTGAAACGGACTCCTCGATAACTGGGCTCTTGGTCACGTGCGTGGCCGATGGCAAGTCAAGGGGCGTCTCCACCCTCGCTCTTTCACATACTCCCTGATCCTCCGCCTCTGGCTCCTACTCAGGCATAGCGGTGGCCTCAGGGGGAGACTCTGGAACCTCCTCGCTGCCTGGCTCAGGAATCCCCTCTGGCCATGAACGCTGTACTGGCTCTGAGACTGGGGAGCATGAAGGAGTATCATCCCAACCGTGATTACCTCCCCTTCCTGAGGCCATACCGGATCCGGCCGTCTGGCTGCCATCTCAGGATCCGGCGGCCCCTCTCGGCCTCGCCGGTCCGTCTCTGTCTCGGGGTCCAAAGACTCCTCCAACGACACGTAGCATGCCGGCTCAACTGAGCCCTCCCCCAATCGTGCGGCCTCCCATTGAGATACATCGAGACGAGTCGCTAGACTCCGGAATGGCGTCTCTCTCGGTATGTCCAGCTCCTGCGCTGATGGCAATGGTGAGGGCGACCTCAACTCCTCACTCGTAACCCGTCGGAACTCGACTGCCCGGAGGCCACATGCAGGGAATGACTCCTCTGCCAATACGGGCCCTGCGGGCTCATCCTCCTGCCGTGCTGGGGCTCTTTTCCTCTCTCTGGCCAGCCCCACCTCTCTCGATGCCGGTTCCCTCGGTCTCTTGCTTCGCTGTCGCCTCTCAACCCTGGGCTCGTGCCTCTCGTGCTGTGGCCGTCCGAACGCCCTCCTGAGCTGGGCCTGACAGTCCTCCCAGTCTCGAGCCCTCTCCCGAATTTGTTTGGCCACCTGCCTCTCTGCCTGCCTCGTCCAGATAAGTAGGGCCTGCACCCATTCCTCCTGCGCAAACCCCAGACTCAGTATGTAGTGCTCATATGCGGGGATGAACTCATTTGCGTTCCCCTCCTCCAATTGAATGGGCATGCCATCACGCCCCCTAGGGGAAGCTCTCAACCTCTGCATCCCGGCCTCCACGTCTGGCCAAGTCAGGGCCTCCTCACATATCTGAGCGACAGGCTCCTCAAACCGCCTTATACCCCTCAAGTGGTGAATCCTCTCCGCCACTGACCACCCTCTTTGTGCCGCATGGTCCCGATATATGTCCAAGAAGAGCTCAATGTTGTCGTCATCAAACTCAGGCGTGGGTTCCCTCCTAGGCGGCTCGTGCTGCTCGCCTCCTCCCACCATCCTCTGAAGTCCCTAGCGTGGCCGTGTGTCCCTCCCGCCCCTCTGCATGACGGCCTTCGAAAAGTCAGACCTGCACAACAGGCGAGAGACAACAAGCAGGCACACAGCAGGGTCAGCAACTGAGCCATTAGTCTAGGGAAATCCCACATACTCTCTACACCCATCCACCCCAATCCTCCACCTATCTAATCACCTGACCTAGGTAATACCTAGGCAAGACTTTATTCCTAACGAGGTCTCATGGCCCCTTACCTATTCCCTGGCCACGAACTTCTTCAGCCTTGTTCCTGATACCCAGTCATGCCATCCTGCCCCATCCAGCTCCTCAATTTGGTAGGCCCCAAACTTGCTACACCGCACGATCCTATAGGGTCCCAGCCACCGTTTGTCGAGTTTCCTAGATCATTGCTTCTCCAGCGAGGAGTCATACAGCAGCACCACATCTCCAACCTTTAGCGGATCCTTCCTTATTCGAGCCATCTGGTCCCACCTCATCTTATCTTCCATACGACTCCTCTCCACCTGGCCAGCGGCCTCTTGTAACCTTTCCTCAGCGGCCCCCACCTGCCGCACTCGTATATCGAGCAGCTCTTCAAAGGACAAGTTCACTTCCAAGTCCTGGCGCCTTCACGTCTTCATGAAGCTTTCTATGGGAAAGGTGGCATACCTTTCGTACCATAGAGTGACTGGCGCATACTTGGAAGTCTTTTTCACTGTAACATTTTTCACGAAGAATGCTGCCCTCAGGAACTTTGGCCACTGGTTAGGCTTTCCCTCCGTCCATTTGGCCATGAGATTTGTGATGGTACTATGCCCCCCCTCCACAGACGCGTTTGCTTGGGGGTGCGCGGCAGTAGTGTAATTTGCTACCACGCCGGACCCCGCAAGCAAGGTCCGCACCTCGTTACAAGTGAACTCCGACCCCCGGTCCATCACAAACTCTCGGACAAATGGATAGCGTAAATAGTACTCTTCAATGCACCTTGCTAAAACTGGGCCAGTTTTCGTACGAATAGCCCGACCGTCCACGAATCCGGTAAGGTTGTCCCGTGCGTCGAAGATATAATTACTTCCGTCCTCCCCGAGTGGCATGAACAACAGGTCCAGGTGTACGACTGCACCCACTTCCCTCTCCAGTCTGGGGTGCAGAGGCTCCCCCGGCCTTTGCACCGACCTCTGCTGGCAAGGTACACAGGACTGGCAGTACTTAATGACCATAGTCAGCATTCCATCCCAATGGTATAACTCGCTTATCTTTACGCAGGTGGTGCTAACTCCTTTGTGCCCCCCTGCTATACCATCGTATAAGGCTGCTATGACATCAATCTGTCGGTTCCTTCCACATACGATCCTCTTGGGGTTCCCAACCTGTCGCTTTATAAACCGATGGCCATCTCTTACTACGTAGAGATGTCCCATCTTCTGGGCTTTAGCACTTGCGTCCCTATCCCTTATCTCGCACGACAGGAGTAACCCCAATTCCCGATAGATCCCGTCATACTCCTCAGCACGGATGGCCTTTCTGATCTCTCCCTCTTCGAACTCGTCGTCCTGACTCTCAGGAATAAGAAATTTGCCTTCTTCGGAACCAATCACGCTCCTCTGGTCAAAGTTCCCTTGTAGGAGCGTGTTGGTGAGCAGGTACATTCCTCCCATTAGTTGCTCATGCTCCTCTACCTGGGTCGGGTCTTCCTCTATTGTCCTTACCTCCTCCGCTAGACTATGTGTCCCTGCCAATGCCAACCTCATCATCCAGCCAACATCCCTATTCCCCCACGGATCCTCTTCCTGAAAGGGCTTGAGGACCAACTCCTCTTTCTGCTCGTACCCCCTTGGTGCTAGCCATATAGGATGTGTAACGCAGCTAGGCACCCTCAGCAACCATTCATTTATGTGGAGGCGGACGTCCTTCTCCTGGTCCAAGAACCCATCGACTGGTGGGGTATCCTCAATTGATTCTTGATTCGCCCCGTCCCAGTTGATACGGCTCAATCCATTTGCCCTGTTTTTGTCCCCGGGAATCCTTTCCAACTCGAAGTTAAACATCCAAATGTAAGTCAACCACCTCGCGATGGTTGGGTCAGATGGAGTATAACTTTTCAGAGAACACGCAAGCGCAGTAGGGTCCACCCTCAAAATGAGCCTCCTGCCAAAGATATAGTTCCGAAAGGTCCTTAGGCAATGGAGCACCGCCAACGTCTCCTTCTTAAACTGGGAGTAATTCCTCTCAGTCATATTCAGGATACGACTTTCAAACCTTAACGGCCTCTCCTTCCCATCCGCATCCGCCTGAATCAGGACCCCTCCTAAGGCAGTTGGCCCGGCGTTCGTTTCGACAATGAATGGCTTTTCCTCCGTGGCCTCATAATTTGGCGCTCCCAACACTAAGCCCCCTTCCTTAAATTCTCTCTTCATCCCTTCCACAGCCTTTTCCAGGTTTTCGCCCCAGACCCACTTCTGATCCTGATGCACCAGCTTCCTCAAATGCTCCGTCTTGGTGGCGAAGTCCTTCACAAAACTCCTCCAGAACCCGCAGGTCCCAAGGAAGCTTCTCACGCCCGTTATCGACTGAAAGGGGACTGACCACTCTAGGATCTTGTCCGTTTTCTTCACATCTGGCCTCCGCCCCTTCTCATTGCAGACAAAACCCAGAATCGTGGCCTCCCTCATACAATGCTTCGACTTGGGGCCGCTCGCCGTCAGGTTGTGTTCTTCCAGCAGACCCATAACCTGATCAATGTCCTGGATGTACTTCCAGACAAACCGCCTCACTCCTGGCATCACTTCGTCCTCTTCTCTCTCCTTTGGGCCCTTGACTGTCAAATCGTCAATATAGGGCTGGGTAATATGTGGACTGACCATCTGCATGGCCCTAATCATGTGCCTTTGCACCATTGCCACCGCATTAGTCCACCCCTGAGGGGCCACGTTCATGTGGATCAGCCCCCTTGGCGTATGCATCGCCGTCACCGGCCTATCCAGCGGGTACACAGGAAATTGGTCGTACCCAGAATCTATAAGCGAAATTATAGGCCTCCCTGCGCATGACTCCGACAGGGCGTCCGCGTTTGGCAATCCTCCCGCGTCCCGCACCGTCACTGCATTCAATCGTTGCAAATCCTGCACCCACCGTAGCGTTCCGTTCGGCTTGATAAAACAAAACCAAGGGGAGGCATACGGTCCACTGGAGTAATCCGCCACATACGTCCTCATCTTCTCGTCCAGATAGTCCACCACCTTCTTCTCCTCATCTGGGTTCGGATACCGCGCGCCTCTCAGGTTTCATGGCTCGTGTGGGACGGTATGGATTCGTATCATTGGGATCTTATCCACGTCCAACCTCCCACGCTCATCATCATTAAATGCATACGCGCGATGTCTCCTCTTCATGGTCTCTACCACCAAGGTCCTCTCCTGGGGCGAGAGGAAGCCAGACTCGCCAACTATCAGTCCTTCCTCATTTTCGTCATTGATGCGGCACGGCCCTGCTTGCGCGCGCTCCCGCATACGTCTTATCAGCCCTCACTCTCGCTCATAATATGCTTCCTCGTCCTCCGTGACGAGCACGGGGACCGGGTGACACTTCTTATCTATAGTCTTGTACCGCCTTTGGGAGCCCTGCTTAAGCCCTCCCCTCAAAAAGGCCGACTTGTCGTTCGGGCCTGGGCCATCGCAGGGTCCCCTTTCCTCCCGGGAAGCCGATAGATTAGTTCCACTTCTCCTACCTGAGGGTTTTCCAAGACCTACTCCCTCAATGCCTTTATAGCCTCAGGGTCCGCCATATCATGTACCGCCACCACCTCCATTGCCTTATTCACATCGTTAAGGCTCAGGGACAACACCTCGCCTGCTCCTTCCTCCTCCTGCTCCTCGCGGAGTCTCCGTCGCGCGTACTCAGACTCCTCGAAGGTAAAGGAGCCGAGGTTGAGCCTGTTCCTCGCACTTCCGGGCCCTGTTTTCCGGCACTTAATAATTTTGTAATTCCCGCAGGCCGGATCGGATAGGGCCAGGATCATCGTGCCCTCATGCCTGTTGAAGACCAAGGTCTCCGTTCGGCAGAGGAACGAGCTCCCTAGAAGGATAGGGTGGTCGACATTGGGCATGACGAAGAAGCACGTTCGCGCCCTTACCCTCCCGATCTCCACCATCACATTAGACGCGGTGCCACAGAATATGGTCTTGCAGTTGGCGCTATGCAGCACGCCATGGTCCAAATGGTCAACTTCCAACGCTAACATAGTCGCGTCCCGCTCCCGGATGATATTCATCTTTGCGCCCGTGTCCACCATTGCAATGCTCGGTTGGTCCCTCACCTTCAAGTCCACCAACCCACACGCCACACATTTCCAGTCCATCCTGGTGCCTGCCTCTGTCCACTCTATCTCCCTGGGCAGAATTGAGCTCAGGTGGACATTGGGCACTAACCTTCGCGAGAGCCGCCCCTTCAGCTCGCCACGGAGCCTTGGTGACAAGGCCAAAATGTCCTTTAAATTCATCAAATTGTTATGGCCCTCCAGGAGCTTATCTACCATCCGCTCCACGTCAAAGCCTTCCTCCAGCCGGACCGCGTATTTTTTCCTCTTCGGCACGCCATCATGCAGGCTCGGCTCTGCCCCTCCCTGAGCCCCTCTCTTCTTGGCCCTCTGTTCCGCTCTCCGGTCCTCCTCCTGCCTGAGCCTCTCGTCCTCTTCGTCATCACCCTCATCTTCCTCTTCTTGAACCTCTACCACTTCTTTCCTTCGTTCGGGCTCAGGGTCCTTTCGAGGGGGCGCCCGACTGGGTGCCTAGCTGGGCCCTTGACTGGTGGTAGCCTTACTTTGGCCCCTAGTCTGCGCGGCCTGTGGTACCCTTCCATGCGATGTAGGGGGTCTGAAGGTCATCCCTGACCTAGGACCTGCCCCGGCCGTCGCCACGCTTGGACACCCTTGCGGTCCTGATGACGACTGCGGACCGGACCCATAGAGCATCACCTCAGGGAGGTTCATTTCCCACTCTCGGGCCTTTTCACACATCGCCCTTAGCCGTTCCTGATACCTGCCGACCTTTGCAACCAGGTCCTCCATCCTCTCCAGGATGGTCGAGGCTGACTCTCTCACCACCTCCTGTGCCTCATCGTCGGACTCAACAACTATGGGCTCCTCCTTTATAGTCCCCGCCTTCAGCCGCTGAGTCACTTCCTCATTTTCATCCACAATCTCCTCGACTTTTACACCCGGATCTTGCCTTTCCTGCCATATCCTGAACATTGCTGGGGCCGCTGGAGGTCCTGCCGCTGCTCGCCTAAGGGCTTCCTGCCTGATTCCTCCCGGGGTCTTGGGGTCAATGTGTTTTCCCCACCGGTCGTCTATGTCCCCATCCATACAGGTGGAGATTAGTCCTGCCAGCTCGTCGTCCCGCCGCTATTGGCAGAATCGTACGGTGTGGCCCACCTCGCCGCAATGCCAACAAGTTGCATTCCGCCAGTCGAAGCGGGGCCTCCCGTACCCTTGGCCCCCTCCCTGGCTGCCTTGGCCACCTTGGTTCTGACCCCCTTGACCATTCCAGCCTCCTCCACGGCCTCCACCATTTCCCCCTCGCCCCCGGCCGCCCCCTCCTCTACCCCCTTGGCCCCGGCCCCCATTGCCCTGCCCGCCTTTTCCTTGGCCCCCTCCCCCGGCCACACTAACTTGCGAGGCCTGTTGGGAGGGCGGCGGTTGAGCCACGGGCTGGCTTTGAGTCGCTGGGTAGCTCGGGGGGCCCATACTTGCTGATGGGCCCGAATAGGGGACCACGTGTCCGGTGTGGGCCTGAATCCCTCCACACGAGACACAGTGGTTACAACTGGGCCAGGGCGTGGATTGACAATGCAGCACCTAGTGTCCACAAGTTGGCGGCGGCCCCATGTGCGATGATCCGGCTGGCGCGGGCGCTGGCGCGGCCGCGGCGACAGGTGGTGGTGCGGCAAGGGCTTGGGGAGCCTGCCCTTTCCCTGATCCCTGTCCCCCCAGTAGCAGATTACGCTGCTTCCTCTGGGCCTTAGTTAGGGCTTGGGAGCCCGTCTCCCCTCCGTCGTAGTCTTCGCGCCCTGCCTCCTCATCTCCTACTCCTGACGCCCTGCCTTGGGCCACTGCCACCACTCTTTTCTGTAGTTCTGCTTCGTTGTCATACCCCAGTGCCGCCAACACATCTGTGACGATTTTGTTTGCCTCTGGGGTTCCAGATGCAGTAGCATCCCTCTCCTTCCTCTTGCGCCTTTGCAGCCTCATTTGGTGCTGCTCCACCTGGTCCAGGCTCCCTTCTTCCACTCCCTTGTCAATGGTTGCCCAGGTGAGCCTCTCGCTTCCTTCCCCATACTTCGTCAGCTCTGTGGCCTCCGAGCCTGTGAGCAGCCCAAAAAATATGGCGCACTGCGCCTCCTCAGAAATCCCGTGCACTTTCCTCGCCTTTTTCTTGAACTCGTGCACGAACGCCCCAATGGTAGAGAAGTTTTCCTTGTTCATGGCCTCCAAGTCAGCCATGGTCAACAGGTCGTCCCCCAGCCTATACTTCCTTCGCATTAGGTCTCCAAACTTTGCCCAACTGCCACCGGCGGCGTCCACAACCTTAGTTACTTCCTGATGGTGACTATGCAGGACATACCTCAGGACCCGCTGGAGCTTGACCTCATCTGACAGTCCCACTAGCGCCTGCTCCGTCAGATCCAACCAATCAGATACCCGAKCCCCTTTGAAGTGGAATGTCTCAACCTTTGGGACGTTGCTCGGCGCCCTCTCGCGCTTGTCCAAGGCATCGATGAGGTCATCGAGAGTCACAAGCTTCCTCCCACCGTCCGCCATCTCTTATGGCATTTTGGCCACCCGCCTTCGACTTCAATCTTCCTGTTATAAGAGACGATGGGACAGAGGACCTCACTCAACGACTCAACCTTCCATGACCCTATCAGGTTGACCACCTTAGACACCCCACACTCTAGACCTGCCAGGCATTCCTTCTCCCATTCCCCTTAGGCCCCTCTCGATAAGGCCTATCCTTACCATAGAGCCTCCTCACACACTTGCCTCATTCAAGCTGTCAACCAAACCGCTAATCAATCAATCATCCAACCCACAGTCATATAGATCATCATACAGTCCGTCTCATAGTCATTCTCTTACTCACTCATATGCCTAGTTTCTCCCTCACTCCCATACCCGGATGTCGTTCCACCAGGGACAACGGTAGGCTTCCGTTATCCCTCGCAACGGCGCCACCTGTCGTGCGCATCGGTCCGGCACCGCACGTGGCGGCGCGGGACCCTCTCGGCCGCGTCACACAGGAGTTGGATCAACCTCGACATAACATGCCAATGGAGCTTCCTTAGGCCGCTCCGGCCGAGTGCGCCAGTCATACCTCTCACGAGCCCCTACGACAGGATAGGGCCTACGCGAGGCACGACTTACCTCCACCTTACAGGAGCTGTCACCTCCCATCGGTAGGCGTATCCCCGTCGAGCTACCAGCCCACAATACGAAAGTTAGTCAGCTGCAATCGCAGAGGTGGACCAGCCGAGGGCGTTTCTCGTTCGCTGTAGCATAGGGGTTACGCGCGGTAGTACGCCTATCGGTCCCGCATGCGAGCCGACATCTTGGGGGGCTGAAGTCCCAAGCGCGACTCGTCGTCGGTCGACTAGGACGCATCCCACACACCATGCGCGCACCACTCTAACAACCACATGACAACAACGCACACACATACACATGGAACGACACAACGCAAACAACGCGACAACGCTCCTAGCCCCAGCTAACCCATAACTCCCCAACGCGGAAATCGGATAGGCATCGCGCGCGAGACTTAGTATAAAAATCGCGTGGACGCAGGGCTAACTCATATCGACTCGCAACGCAAGCGCACGCAAGCGGTCACAACGATGGCGTACCATGTGGTATCCATACTCGCGCGGTCCTCGTTAATCTCGAGGGTCGCGTTCGACACTCAAGTGTCGGCTGACACGCGCCTTGAGGGTTAATCTCTCGACGCTGGACAACCGTCATGCGTGGTTGAAGACCACACACCCTCTTCTGCACCCTTATGCAGAGTGGGTGGTACACAGGCCCATGCCTGTGGTGGTAGTCATCTCTCGCGGCCCTAGGGGTGAGTCCTCCCCGGGGCATGGGCGAAAGTCACGGACTACAACGTCCAACCATAAAAATCTTCAAAAAGCAACGAGACTCGCACGAACCCAAGAAGAGGGGATAGGGCAAAGGTCCCCTGGCTTTTAAAATAATAAAGCTCATGGCCTTGGGACACACTTTCCCTCTATGGGCGGTGTCGGCGGCCTACAATAATCCCAAGTGTTGCGCATACGCGCGAGCCCGGCGATCCCATAACTTTTTAGGCGCTAGGGAGGCGAGACGTCGTGCCCGGGGTTCTGATATAAAACTGCGCGGTCGCAGGCCAATCCTATGCCAACCACTGATGCCAATCATATGTGGTAACCACGGCTCCGACCTTGCGATATTGAATGGCTGAAGGAACACATCGCGGGGGGGTTACCCCTCACGATATTGAGCGGCTGAAGGACACACCGTTCGACCGTTGCGACATTTCTGCCTTTCAGGTGGGGTGTCCCGCCGACCAAAATAAAGAGGCTCTATGCAAGGGGGGGACTCCTCCCCCTCAGGGCCTGGGGCTTGGGATGTCCTGAACAAGGACCTTGAATCCCGGTCCGGGACCAACGTCCGACTAAGAAAGCCCCAAGACGCAGAATAGGCAGGAGGGAGGGTCTTCCCTGTCCCTCAATCCCAACTCTCACGCGGTTGTTAACATGGCCTCTTAGGCCTCCCGAATACTCATCATACGTATATCCACACATACATACGGAAGGGGGATAGAGTTATGACGATCACTTCTCACAGGCACAGTGGGACTCCCCACAACCATGTATACGTATATGGAATCGCAGGCAGTCCAAATCCAAAATCCGAGCCACAGAACATACCTGCAACCACACCAAAAATCAAGCGGCAAAGCACGCACTACACGGAGTCAACCCCAACCATTCTCTATGCTCATACCCCTTCGCTTTAGTCATGCAAGCCCCAACTGCCAGTCCAACCAACCTAAATTAAGTACTCAGTACCTTTGTCAAATGGTCATTTGGGGGGGTAACTTCGACGCAGTCACGAAAACAGTTTGTAATTGCATTTGAAACTGCATTTTCGCAGTTTAGTGAGGGCCCGAGTTTCAATTGCAGTTGAAACTCGGGCTTCCTTTGGGTAGCAGTTCAGTCAAGGCCCTCGTCTATCCACGAACAGCAGATAAAATAAAAATAAAAATAAAAATAAAAACATCGCTTATGCTGTGATTGCGGTTCGATACAGGATGCTACAGTAATTGTCTGGAACTGAATGAAGCGAGGTAGTTAGCTGCCTCGTGTGGAATCCGCCCTGCCTGGCTGGCAGGGCGCTACAAGGACCTCACAACAAGAAACAAAAAAGGAAAACGACCTGTTTCATGTTCCTCACTTCCTGGCCAGATACATTCCTCAAAGCACTGGTGACGTGAGGGCCTTCGCGACGTAGGTGGATTCAAAGTTCCTCTTTTCTTTTCTTTTTTATTTCTTTTTTTTCTTTTTTCTTTTTTTGGCCTCCATCCCTGCCCCGAGCGCCCCACTTCTTCGGAGTAGGCTACTCTTGAGACTTCGCTTATGCCTGTGAAGGATAGTGTCTGCGGCACAGCAGAGCCAGTCAGTCTTGCCGAAGGGAGGTAAAGTGGATTGAGGGGGAATTCTTCTGAGTCGTTTCTGAATCATGGTGTTGTCATTGATAGGTTTGAAGTAGCCCCAATTCTCTGAGCCAATGCCGGGTAATGACCCCGGTATCTTAATTCTCAAAATTCCATCCTTAGGCCAATTGGATTTTTCGAGTAGGTTCCTAGTCTCATTTCCATGAAATTTCCTGATGAGCTGTCTGAATGTACTCGTGACAGGACGCTGGGCCCGGTTCCCAGTTTGTGCCAATATGTGAGGATATGGTTGTATCTATGGGACGCTGGACCCGGTTTCCAGCAGGTGTTGCTCCCCACCAATAGATGGAGGTTTGTATTGAAAAAAAAAAAAAAAAAAAAAAGGGCGGAACACGCTGGCGCTTAGCGCTAACCTGCGCTACGGACCGGCTGGCAAGGCCCAGCCATACTCCGTAGGCTAGGGTGGTAGTGGTGATTCGCCATCGCTACCCTTGGTCATCTTGGTGTCCGCCTAGTCGTCTCGTCCAGGTGATGGTGGATTTCCCACCGGGCACATCAGGAGATGGTACGTCGGTGTGAGGTGCCTATCTTTTGGATCTGACGGTGCGTTCACGAAATGGAGTTGGTAGGGGAGCTACAACGGGGAGCTGACGAATGGCTAAGGACCTTGGAGAAGGGGTGCAAGCGGTTACAGGTGATGGTGGGGGAGCTGTCTTCGCGGTCAAAAGAGGAGTCAGAGGTCGAAGGGGGAGCGATTTCTCTGGCTGATTGGTTGAAAGATATGACCGACGACATGCTGAATATTATCTGGATGCTGGAGGAGGGGCCGGATCCCTACCTGGAAGCCTGCATCGATTGGAGGACGGCTGATGGCATGATGTCCACTTGCTATGCCATCTTCACTGAGGGTCGCAACCTGTGCTATATGCTTGAGGAGCGGCTGGAGGGTGATAACGATATGGAGGATGAGGTCTGCCAGGAGGATGGAGCGACGAAGAGGATGAAAACCCCGGCGTCAGCATCAACAACAACAACAACAACAACAACAACAACAGCAACGTCAACAACAACGGCCACAGCGACAACGACAACGTCGACAACAGCAACTACAATGATGACATTAACAACAACGTCGTCATCAATAGCTTTAACGAAGACAGCGCGGTCGTGGTGGACGGTAAATGCATCAATAAGGACAACAGCAACAATAACAACAACAACAACAACAACAACAACAAAGACATCAACAGCGGGACTGGCAGCAGTGACAGTGCACTCATTTTCACTATCAGTATGGTGAGTGAGATGCCGGGTTCTGACGTGGACAGTGGGAAGGTGATTGGGGCTGAAACAAAGTGGGATTCTATCCTTCCTCCCTTCAATCTTGATATGGAATTGCTTATTGCTGTCCGGTTCAGGGCGGGGGTACGATAGGCAAAGGGGATTGAAATTGTCCGGTCCGCAATTTCAATTGAGAACGGCGATCTGCCTCTGCTCGGCATCCTTACGGAAATATAATTGGTTAGGGTTTCCCCCTCGGATCTCATAATTTGATTGATCAACATAAGATAGTCACGTTTTGGTGATGCCCCCAAGGGGAGGTGGGTAATTTAGGGTTTCACGTTTTGCTTTCACCTCCGTGTTGGGGGATTGATGAACATGTGTTTTGTTAGGATAACGCATCATGGGCTGTAGGTCAATCCTTCCCTTACGCAGGGAAGTAATCAATGCCTCAGCTCTTTTCTGAGATTAGGGTTGACGTGCCAACACACAATAGGGATGCTGGCCCCGATTTCCAGCTCATAAGTATCACATCTGTGTGATGCTAGGGTTTCGTGTCTTGGTAGAGTGACATATCCCCACAGCACTTTACAGGGACGCTGGAACCGATTTCCAGCTGAAACACATCATAACGTTGTATAGGGACGCTGGACCCGATTTCCAGCAGGTGTAGCTCCCCAGCAATAGATGGAGCCTTCGCCGCAGGGACCTACTTAGCGGGCCTGCTCTTATCACCTCGTTAAGAAGGTTTCCCACATGCGAAGTTAAAAAAAAAAAA